CCAAGAAAAGTGTGCTGTTACAGTACAGTAGGAGCAGAATAATGCCCATATTTTGGACATGACATTGGAAGGTTACTAAAAAAGTACAATAAAAAACAGACAAAACTGAACATGTAAATAACTACCAAATTGCACAAAGTCTATCTAATTCTTATATAATCTAACTTGTATGGCTTGTTCATTCTATGTTTTTATATTTATATTTATACATGTTTATGTCTGGCACCAATTCACCAAAGCAAATTTCTTGGACATGTTAAAACTACTTGGCAACAAAGCTGTTTCTAATTCTGACTCTGAAATATACATCAGATATAAGAGATATGGATGCAATGTATATGTGTCTACATGCTTTTGGCCATGTAGTATATGTATCTCTTCTCTTTTGTTCAAATTGATCAGTCTGAAACCTTTACCGTACTATGAGAAAAATCAGGCTCGCGGTAAAAAGTAGAACGCATAAACCCATTCCAAACACAGATCACCAAATATAGGTCACCATAAAACAAACATCTGTTAGGGACTTAACATCTGCTAAGAGCAGACAGGGCCTTAACCACTCACATTGTAAAAGAAAAATGAATTAAAAGAGCGTCTGGTTGTTTTTGCCTTCGCACTCAATCAATTCCTTTTGTCACACTGCCACAAGCAGCAAATTTACCTGACACCTTTAACCAGAATTTAAGAGTAACAAATCCACAATGGCTATTTTGTACTCTGTGAAAGGATAAATCTCTGATACAGTATTTATCTGGAGATTTGCCCTTCAAACCTTTTCCTGTTTGATGATAATACAATAATTGAAGTCTTGACTGGACAAAAGTGTGTCTGAGTAGAAACCTGCCAGGCTTACAGTCATGTTCTCTTCTCTTTGCAGACACTAGTTTATTGTTGGAGCTTCTATTTTCCTGTGCAGTTTTTATACACCTGCTGGGATTTCATATAATGACCATTTAATACCTGTTGCCGCCTACCATCTGTGAGTCTTGCATTCATTTTATTATCTTACCATCCTTTTGTTGCCTTTTTCTTTTATTGCACCATTCCATGATCCTGATAGGAATAAGCGGGTCAAGCCAATGAATACATATGAATAAATTAACACATAAATGACTAAATATCAATCATCTCACACAGCTACAAACTGTTTATCAAGCACATTAAACTTTTATGAAGGTCATGCTTTGGTTCCTTTGGTAATGGTCTTTTGTTATAAAACTGACTGATATAACTGTCTTGCAAGTTATTAGGAAGTATTAACCAACAATAAAAAAACATTTTAGCATAAAGTTATGATTTATTCAAGAGTGCAGCACAAGCATCACCATGACTGATAACACACAAACATTTGGGTTGCAGTAATATTAAGTGAGCTACAGATGTGCACGGTCCCAGAGAGATGTTCAAAGTACTTGTCCTACCCTCAGTTAATGCAGGTACTGGTATAACTCTAAAATAAACCACATTACTTTGAGATTATTGCTGAAATAACAATGTAAATGGTGCAGTGTTACACTCACATGCTAAATGTTACATTCTAGAAATACAGTCTGTATCTGGCTGAAGGTCAGCATGTTCTATGGTTAAAACCTGTTTTAACCACTGTAGAGCTAACACACTGATATGCAGCTAGGTCACATAAGGCGTAAGCCGGAAGGGGATCATGCATTTGGTCAGGTGAGTGTATGTGTGCATCTGTCCACAGCTAATCTTGCATACTACTGCCCCCATCAGCCCAATATTTTTTTGCACATTTATGACTGTATGCTCTAGGGCCAAGGTGATTCCCAATTTTTGAAAAAGTAATCTTATTAACTGATCCTAATGTAAAACCTAGACTTTCGTCTTCTCAGCTGTATTCACCATTTTACAATATGCGTTACGACATGGCAAGAGTTATCTTTTGGTGAGGCTCATAAACTGGCATTCATAGAAAAGTTTGGTCTTATCTTGAACCACAACATCTGTAATCTTTGCCGCCATGTTGACTGTAAGGGTGCTGGGAGGGCCAGCGTTATTTTTTTTTCCACCAGGAACGAGTAAAACATAGCAAAAATGTTATTTCAATGGAAACAGTGTAAACAAACAGCAGGGTTAGGAAAGATCATGGTTTGGGTTAAAATAATAACAACTTTCACAATTTACGTAACTTTACATTTAATGTTGCCTTTTTTGTTTCATATGGGAAATGAACACCGGTCTCCTCATTGAAAGTCCGGCCCTCATCAACCCCAAACACCTCCTTACTTGGTCATTTCTGTTAAATATCATATACCCACCTTTTCTGTCCAAAAGGGACGCTACAGCGCTTCCCCCACTGCGTTGACCTATGACACTAAGGAGATCCCCAGAGCGTTACAAATTGACACCAACTGGTCTTGACCATGCCTCCATATGTGACAAGTTGGGAGTTGGGACCAGTTTTTCAAAGCAATGGTGGATCATGGAGTATCTCAATAGCTGGGCTGCAGAAAATGCTATTTGGGATGCACATTTAAAAGGTCAGACGTGTAAAAATGAAATTATATATCATTAGCGCAACTGAATCAAGTGAACATGTGCATTAAAGCATGTTAGTGGATTTCCCCCACTAATTTAGGGACATTAACGGTTAACAAATTAACAAACAAATTATGATACTGTCAATGGATAAGGTTAGCAGCACACAATATAAACACAAAATAAACAGGGGCAGCCTATTAATTTATTTTTGGGGGGTGGTATTTAATATTATTTAAATATATTACTGGTGCGAGTATGAATTAAATATTTCAAAATTATATTTATTTATTTTTTGGGGCTTTGGGGAACACTAAAAGTCGTATACTAACATCTTATAAAAGCAATCTTCATAGTAAACTAAAACATTCTTCATAGTAAACTCTGCGTGGGGGAGGAGCAGTGAGGCTAAAGAGTACTGAGTGGACCATGGTGAAAGCTGAAGTTCCAAAACTTAACAATCCATAACTTTCTCAATCAAACCTGTAGCTGTTTACAAGAAAGGTTGAATTGAGAGCAACTGGACTTGTTGCTGCCGATTCAACTTTTCTTGGATAACCATGACCTGGATGAATCTTTACAGATGTGTAGGTTTGTTTAACCCTTTCTCTCTCTTGTTCTCCCTCTCCCAGCACAAGAAACATTCAGTGCAGCCTGAAGCTTGTCTGCAGTGATGCTTTTAATAAACCATACATTAAGCCAGTTGTGTGTTCTTTCTTTGTGGAAAAAGTACCTCACATATTTTTTGTTGTTAGGCTCTTTAGTGATTGTAAAGTTGCTCCTGTTGACCTGAGTCAACAGTTTTTTCCTCCTCTCCATGTCAGCTGGGAAACCAAACATTCGTACTTCTTTTTCTGACCAACTGCAGCAGCATCTCCACACAGCACAATAAACCGTGCTGTAGACTATTGTGAGGCAGGCACAAACCACTTAACATACTGTTTTCTGAGTTTATTGGATTTATTAAATTAATACATGAGAGTCATTGATAGTCACCTGTCTGTTCTATCTGAAGTCATAAAGATTACATTAGTCATTAAGATCAATTAACTCTGGTACCTAAAAGGAATTTTAGAAAGGTAAATCTGATCTAATTTTTTAAAACATTGTGTTTTCATAACTACACACAGGTGTCAGTGTGCTTTACAAATATTACAAATATATCAACGCGTTGATTGTATAAATTACCAAAAATCGCCGTTTTGTCGTTTCTCTCGCTCATTTTCAAATGCCCGACTAGGACTTCCAGGAACTATCTGCGGTCCCCATGAACCACGTGACTTTTTTGACATTTTGGACCCCCGCTGACGCGACTCTTTCTTTAAAGGGCTCTGGGTTGGAGCGCGCCCCTTGAAACACCGCCCCCTCGTTTGCATAATGAGGCAGAAAAGGGGAGACAAATACCTTTGGGTAAATGAATAGGGTAGAAAATAAAACGAAGAATAATACAAATGCATAAATAAATACATTTCAAAAGAACTAATTAAAAAATTTCATTGGAAATTAAAAAAAAATAAATAAATAAGGTAATTAAAACAATGTCTGTGAAGATTCTCAGTCATCCAGGTCATAGTTAAAGTCAAGGGCAACTGGACTTGGTTGAAGATACTAGAAGACGTTTCGTCCCTCATCCAAAGGACTTCTTCAGTTCAGACTGACTGGCAGGGAAACTCAGCTATTTAACCTCAAGATCCAGGAGGAACAAAACTACAGGGGAGGAGGAAAAGAAGGTCAAACGCAACAACATTGTGATTCCATACGTGTCTGGAGTATCAGAGAAACTCAGGAGGATTTTCAACAAACATAACATCCCTGTGTTTTTTAAACCCAAGAACACACTAAGACAGATGCTGGTCCACCCCAAAGACCGCACACCCAAACACAAGAAAAGCAGTCTAGTGTATGCGGTCCAATGCAGTGAGGAATGCACAGACCTGTATATTGGGGAGACTAAACAACCACTACACAAACGCATGGCTCAACACAGAAGGGCCAACTCCTCAGGTCAAGACTCTGCAGTCTACTTACATCTGAAGGACAGAGGACACTCGTTTGAGGACCACCAGGTGCACATTTTAGACAGAGAAGATGGATGGTTTGAAAGAGGTGTCAAGGAAGCCAGGAACACTAACGAACCAGCGGTATCGATGACCCGGGATAACGACCCCACTGAGGTTAAATAGCTGAGTTTCCCTGCCAGTCAGTCAGAACTGAAGAAGTCCTTTGGATGAGGGACGAAACGTCTTCCAGTAGCTTCAACCAAGTCCAGTTGCCCTTGACTTTAACCTTCTTTGGATAATTAATACAATGAATAAATGAAGACACAAATTAAAAGAGATAGGCCAATGTCTCTTTAATTAGTCCCTACATTTATTTTGTTTTATGTATTTTTGGTGCATTTGTTAGGATATTTATTTATTTATTTATTGAGCCTTTTTTATTTCCGTATTTATTTTCAGTTGTGACAGACTCGGTCTTCCACAGTTTTTGGTGTAAACAGGCCGTTTATTCTGAAGGCAGCTCTGCATGAGCTTCCTCCACCTGTCGCCCTGCTGAGACAGGAAATCCCATTCCAGTGACTCCACCAACTCCTGCCACATCTTCAAGCTCCCCCTCGGGGAAACTGTGTAAATACTGTGTTGCCAGGTTGGAGAAAAGTCCACCTTCTAGCGGAATGCTGTGGTGTTTTCCTGGCGTGCAAGCGGCTTGATTTGAAGGATAGAAGGAACCGGATCTGGATCCCGTGATGAACACAAGTATCAGCTGGAACGGATTTTCAAAAGACGGTAGTGCTGAGGCTTAAACTGACTGACGAAGATGAGAGAAGGGGGTTTGTTCATTGAATTTATCCACCGTGAGAATTTATGATGAGTATTTTTCAGATGTCAGATCGCTGTTCGTCCTGGAAGCCATAGCTGTGGATTTATGCAAAAACCACTTCCTCCTTCTACCGTCCTAAGGATTGACGGTCTGGCCTGACATCATTGGCTGGTCGTTGGGAATGAATCATCGCCTTCTTCAGGGGGGTCCAGGGATGCTGTCACTGTCACTGCACCCTTAAAATACCACAGACAAACCGACTCGTACACAAACCCACCCAGCCCCGGCGTGTCTCTGTTCTCTGAGATTACTAAACTGTGTTTTCTTTGGAGCCAGCATGGAGGAAATAATGCGCAAGCTGCAAAAAGACGCGTCCGGCCACAAGCACAAAGCTATCCGCGATGCCTGCGTCTACGCCTACGGTGAGTGCACAGCAGCCCCCCGGCATCCGGCTGCAGGAGGGGGCCACAGGGATAGGGGAAATCTGCGTCTGTGTTCACCTGCTATATTTTAGGGAACAGAGGGCAGCTATACTAAACCCATAGGCCTACCGCTTAAACGATGATCGTATACATTGCAAGAAATGACGACATCTTAAGGGAAATCTGTGTTTCTCAAAAGAGAATATACTTAAGGTGGTCAGACCCAAAGACTGAAAGTGGGGAGAAGAGGATTTCCATGTCCATGTGCTGGTGGAAAGCTCCACCATCCAATAACAGCTGCACCTGCTGTTTTTAGGTGCCTCAGTCTGGCAACAGTGAACCACAGAAACAATGATCATAGAGAACATAAAAACAATGAGATAATGTACAGTAAGATGGGTAACTATAGGCCTACTACTGAGTACCACATCTATGCAGTTCCATGCAGGAGATAGTAGATAATAACGGGTTCTAAATACAAAGCTTAGAGCTTTATGTATAAAGTTAAGCAGCTGTGATAATATATGTCACAGACAGACATGACATTAAAAAGAGGACCTGAGTCTGTGTTTGCCAGCCCAGTTTGACTAGACCTCCCCTACCCTACTAAAAGCGTTGTTCAAATTAATGTGATTCGCAGTACCGGGACTTCACTTGCATACTTGGAAACCATGACAAACCTTTTCAAGAAAAAGAGGTTTTCAGACCAATAGTAGTAATACTCATCACTCTCTGTGCCAGGCAGCCTCTGAAAAAGCATTCAGAACATGTGACACTCCCAAATAAAATGTATTAAACTCCATTTAAGAATGTGGAAAAAGCAGTTTCCACTGACTTCAGTGGTGATATTGTTAGTATTAATAGCCATTATAGGCCAGCCTGACCTTTTGGTGGCAGGTGAATGGGTGGATGGGTTCAGATTGTGCTGATGAAGGAACAGCGTGCAAACACACACACACACACACACACACACACACACACACACACACACACACACACACACACACACACACACACACACACACACACACACACAGAACTGAACTCTTAATTGTGACGTATTAAAAACAGACAATATCTCATGTGCTAGGCTATATTTCAGTTATGTCTGCCCTCTGTCTGATATAGATACACAGTGCAGTTGAGTGCGTTGAGTGTATTTATGTTCTACGAAAGGAAAGGACTTCATCAGCCAATAAAATATTTCACAGACTGCCTTGAAATATTTGTAGACACGCCCATAACATCAATCAATCTGCATCTTATAGTTGTCTCTGAAAGTGAAGGATGCCAAATGTCCCATGTGAATGCCATAAACACATACATTAAACCTTGAAACACGTGCACAACATGACAGCCTCTGCAGAGTAACAGGAGATTTATGCTGGGTTTAGAGATGTCAGCAAGTGTCATTTGTCAAGTTTCTGCTATGAAAAATGCAGTAGAATGTCCCGTGCTAGTTGAAAATATGAAGCCAAGGTGAAATTTCTCAAGGTTTCTGAGCTATCTGTCTACTTTAAAAGCTGCTGTTTGCAGCAGGTACTCAGCATTTTTCTTATTGCAGTAGTTCTTATTGAAGACATAGGCCTAAATCTTCATAAATAACTCACAATATATAGTTTCCATTAAATAAAAAGCCTTAATAGTTTCCTGAAACAGTTGGCCTCTGTAGTTTTTAACAAATCTTACTCAAACGGGAGGAAGTGCATTTGTATTTTCAGTAGTGAATTAATACACTTTTGGTGCTCAAGTGAGTATTTCTGTTATGTCTGTGACATAATTATCCTTCATCTCTGTAGACGCCTATGTGCTAAATTATTCAACATAAATTTGACATGCAGCACAATTCATAGCTATTGTGTCTGAGCTAATGTGCTAACTAGCTAGCTAATATTGTCAAATACTGTTGACATTAGCATTAGTCTTGGGAACCAGATTTGCTTTTGGGTAAAGAAAATCACTCTTTTTTTTTTTTTTTTTTTTTTTTTTTTTCATCTGCTCTTCCTGAGCTCAACAAACCGAATACTTAACAGCTGGGAATTTACATTATATTTTGGTTTGGGTAAATGTCATATAGCATATCTGTCAGAAGATATTAATGACAGTCTTTCCTTTTCTTTGTTCCATTAAATTACAGAAACCCTTGAGTCTCAGAATGGACCAGCCAAGATTTCTCCTTCACAACTTCGGTAAGTTAAATGGCATCTCAGTTCAATTCATTTCAGTTCACTTCAACTCAAAGCTCTGAAGGCATGAAGTCAAAACCTGTTAGAGTCGCAGTAAGAGAAAAACAACAAACCTAACAGAACCTGAACAAAAAACATTAAACAGACTGGAAATGTTCTTTGTATAATAATCAAAAACAATGTTATGTGTTTCCAAGAGCAGTTGATCATTGTGCACCAGAAGTTTTGTTAGACCACCTTGAATTAAGTTGTAAGACAAGTTAGCTTTGCCCTACAGCTACACGTACTGTACAGCCTGTGCTTTTACTGCAGGGAATAGATAACTGAATATTGAAATTCAAACTGTTCTTTTCCGAGCCCTGTGGCTTACACACCGTTATTTTCCACCGTGTGTATAATTTGAATTCATTTGACTGGTCAAATAATTCCTGGGATGATAATGCAAATATTGAGGCAGTGTTTCACATCGCTCTGTTTAAACACAGTTCCAACACCACTACAGTATAATTACCATAGAATATAGGAATTTAGACTACAGCAGGTGGATACAATAACATCAACATGATAGAAAATAAAATAAAAGAAGCACGTGTGAGAGTTCCTCAAAGTAAATAAAACACACAACCGGCAGATAAATTACAGTGTTTACACTGATGATAATTTAATTTTCACCTACATGTTGTTGGTTGGATTAAAAAAATATTTTTTTAACTCATCCTGTAATAAAAAAAAACATACATTCCTGGATATAATTAATTTTTTTTTCCCAAATTGTGCCTCAAACTAGGGATTTACTGACCTGACTTTTTCTTTTTCTGTCCTGACACCAATCCCAGTACCTTATCTCAGCGTATCTTCCGAAATACCAATCCAGTGCCAGAGGCTGTATCTGTATTCTGCATAGAATATTTATGTAAATGTAAAAAAAAATGTAAATGCTCCGTACTTTTCGACCACTCAAAGCGCTTTTACACTACATCTGCATTCACCAGTCACACACATTCATACACTGAGCCTAAGTGCTCAAACGGAAACTAACTTCACACTCATTCATACACTGGCGGAACAGCCGCCAGGGGCAATTCGGGGTTCAGTATCTTGCCCAAGGACACTTCGACACGCAACTAGGGGGAGCCAGGGATTGAACCGCCGACCTTCCGATTAACGGCCAACCCGCTCTACCTCCTGAGCCACAGCAGCCCCATAATTTATGTACGGTAACTTAATGAATGTAACTGATAGTGGAAATATTTAATTTTTAAAATGACATTGATAAAGAAGTTTGGAACTGTGGATCCGTCATATCTGACCGATACCCGATCAGCTTAATAAGGTCAGTATCACTTCTGGTTGGTAGACCAGAAGTAGACCTGAAAGTGAAACTGTGTGTGTACACAAAAAGAGAACTTTACCAGCTAGTAAGATCTGAAGGTAAGGTTTGTCACAGGCCTGCTGTTTTGGATATTATTAGATTATACAGGTGTTCCTGTTGTTAAGGTCACCCCCTTTATACTAATCATGTCTATCAAATCATGCGGAGAAAATCAAACTGGACAGACAGCTGTTCACAGTAGCCAAAATACTGAATATCCAATATATATGGTTGGGTTCAAATATCCAGTTTGAGTCCAGTATTTCCTTTTGTCAAACTCTTGTATTATTGTTTTGCATTGTAAGAAGACTGCAGAATTGTTTTTGCATGTGTTGTCATGGAAATATTCTGTGTTTGGGCATTGATGCAATGTTTTTTTTTATAATGTCAGAGAGTTTTTGAATGTATCAACTGTAAAATGTAAAGTGAATGGAGAGCTGCTCCTGGTGGCAGTTGCATTGTGACGAAGGTGCTATAAATTCTGGATGCCGTTGCAGCTCAACACACCATGAATTATTCATTCAATAACCTCTATTGTTGTATTAGAGATTATTAGATTAAATATTGATGATAATGTCTCCGTAATGTAGTGCGATGGTTCTCAGCCAGTGTGCTCCTCTGTTTCTACAAAAAAGATTTGAAGTCTCTTATTACAAAATGGACTCTCAGCCACTCGAACAAAGAGGACACTTACTCTGACAAACTGACTGACAGAACCAAACAGGATATACAATGGTTCTCTCTGAAGGATAGTTGCTATGGGAGGTCCTTGTTTGATATAATAATGATAGTTTTCATTGAGAAATTGCATATTTACCTTGAAAAGGAATTTTAAAAGTTTATATTCTTTATGTTATAGAAATATTGAATCTGGTGGTTTTATAAACATTTCTGAGCCACTGGTTATGGCGTGATGGGCCTTTTTAAAGTTGAGTTGAGATTCTCGTCCTGACTATTTTATTTTAATTGTTGCACTCTACTTGCTCATAAATAGTGTTTGAACTCATTGAAACTGCTGGGAACTACTGGCTGCCATGACAACTGTGGCTCCTTGCAGCCCATTTGAACGAATGCAGTTGTGACAGCTCAGGGCAGCCTGAGCGCTCAGAGATGAAGCCCAGTGGCCTGCTATCAGCAGCAGAGCATGGTGACTCAACCAACTACAAATAATGAGGGGGGGGGGAGCAGAAAAACATGACAAAGAAAGATTGAGGATATGGATAAGTCAGCTTGCTGGGTTATGAAACTCTATAGGGTCTAGTTTGGGACAAAACAAAGGATGTTTTACAAAAGAGTTTTATTTTTAACTGAGAGAAGTTTTTTTGTGAATTGTGAATCCACAATGGGTCAGAGCTGGCATACATGCTAGTTTGTATATAGACCATCTAGAATGAAAAACACATTTTAAAGAACAAACAAGACAAAAAATATTTACATCAACTAAACAAGCAATATTAAAGGCAACAGATACCTTTCAAAGGTCCTCGTTTATCTTTTTTTGGCATTGGATTAACTCAGTACGCTCATTGCTTTGATGTCTCCGCAGAATCCCACTTTGAAATGTATGAAAGTGACGTTGCATGTTATCACAGATTCCCAGTCCTTGCTAGACACTAACAACCCGACGACACTGCCTGCCTGACCGCATCTTGAGTCCCATCACAGTCAGCAGATATCTGCATCTGTGTGAATGGAGGCAGCAGCAGCTTCACCCAGTCTGACTATAACCTTTAAACATCTCTCTACATGGCCTAACGTCTTTTTATTGTTGATTGTTTTAATTGTATGTTTCATTAAAACGAGAAAATCTTTTTCTGTTTATAAAAAAAAACCCGACATGCACCAAACTGAAAAAAACCCAGTAGGTTTCTCTTTCATTTAGGTCAGATTTGTTTTCCAGCAGGTTTGTACTTGAGCATGTGCTAAAGTAGCTTCTAGCACCAGTGGAGCATGGTGACCCTTTCAGCTGAGAGACGTGGTCAAGAGAGACCGATACAAACAAACAAGCTCTGTGTGTCTCTGTGGTTGCGGTCAGAAGCTCACGTTAATCGTTTACCTCTCAGTTGTGATTTGATGTTCTGAACTTGAACGTACAGTATCGTTAAGAGCAGGAGAGAGTGAGGAGGATCTGAGATATAATCTCACTTCATATTAATATCGAAGTCGTGGAACAACCCAGTCTCTTTATTTTGTTCAGTAAAAAGGACTGAAAAGAAGCTATTAATTATTTTACTCGTGCATATTTGTTGACAAAGATTTGATCATAAAGTTTTACTTCAGATTTGTGAAGTGTTCCACTGTTTGGACACAAGTATTGCCATAATGAACAGTTTAAACCATGATTAACCATCAGGTTTCTTCAACTTTCAGTCAGGGGCAAAAATCCGCCTTTAAACTCAAAAGAAATAACGATTTAATACTTATTGTGATAATTATCGATATCGAAAGATATGAAACTTTTTATTGTGATAAAAATATCGTCCAGCCCTAAGTTACACTTGTGTCTTCAATGTAATTTTTTCAAATCTGATCTCAAATTATAAGATATAGAGTTATAGAGATAGAGTTATAGAGTTTAATATTGTTTGTGTTTTGGTTTGTGTGCATCCAGAGCGTGTTGTCTGCTGCCGCTACAGATGGCTCTGGAGTCAAAAAAACACCAAACTAGGACAGACGGCGCTTACTGGAATGCAGGTACTGCAATATATAGCAGATTATTTCTCTGTTTTTTATCCTTGTTCTTCCTTTTATTCCTATTTACTGTACATAGATCTGTCATTTGCAAAATCAGCGTAAATAAAAGAAGAAAAAACACAAATCTTCCTTTTTAGAAATGAAAAGTTATTCATACATAAATAATTCACAAGCAATAAAATGCTTGTTCAACTCTAGTGGAACAAGGGTGCATTTACTTGTAGTCTAGAATGACCAGACAAGCAAACCTTAGATAAATAATGCAGTTTAACTGACATATTGAGTCACTTTACTGCTAGTTGCAAACCCTGAAAAAGAGGGTCCGTGACAAGTTTTGTACTAAAAATATAGATTTATTAGCCGTCATGAGGAAGTCGTTGATCGCATGATGTTTTTGATACAGCAGCAGTGGTGGTCTGCTCTCTGAAACTTTCTTCCCTCTGACTTTCTTCAGAAGCTCCTGTGTGAGGACAGGTTTGTGGGCGGGGTCGGTGTGGAGGTAGAGGTGGAGGCTCTGGAGAAGCAGCTGCTCAGCCAGATGTTGGAGGCCATCAGAGTCACCCCATCTCTCCATGAAGACCTGCAGGTGGGAAGTCATGAAGGTAAGACATGATATAAATTCCTAATATTTACCCATATTACCAGTAGACTCCGAACTGCATTTTACATGTTTACTATACTTCACAGTGCACTCTCAGTCTGCAGTAGCCTGTGTTAAAAAGAGTACAGTGATGTAAACATACTGGCAGCTTAACAGCTCTGCATGAAGAGTTGCCAGCATTGCAGCTTTTTCTTTTTCTT